AGTATTTTTCCAAATATTATCTTCTGTCTTGTTCACATGTGTTAGATTGCTCAATATTGTATAGGTCATATGATTTCTATGTCTTCATGCATTTATCTTTGATTCTTTTGCATGTGTATCGTAGTAAACACATTTTAAAAAATCCAACATTTGGGTTTGCTGTCAGTCCCATTTCTATATATTTTATCTCTTGACTCTACATCACATTTTTCTTTATGTTAAATAGATTTCACTTGACTGTTGTCTCTTGTGGATGATATCTTGTACAAACTCTGGGCAGTGTGGATTTTAGTCTTTCTTTGAAGTGTAGGGCTTTGTTCTAGCAGGGACTTTACCTTGATCCTGTGGAGACTTAGTTTTAGGCTTTGTTAGGACTGTCCATTTCAGTTTTGCCCTTATTTCTGATATGTGGTTCTTATTCCTCAAGTGCGGTTTTTCTGGAGGTTCAGTGAAAAGCCTGAAATATTTACCAATTCCTTCTACATCCAAACTCTGATTCTCCAGAATCAGATAGCTATTGAAATCTCTTCCTATATCTTTTAGATTTTTAGTTGTTGCCTCTCCCTGGGCTTTTTGGGTTTTCATCCCATGCATGGGAATACAGGAGTGAGCCCCTCAAGATTCTCTTTTTTTCTGGGGTACCTGGGTGGCTCAGTCATTTGAGCGTCCAACTTCAGCTCAGGTCATGCTCTCACGGTTCATGGGTTTGAGCCCCACGTCGGGCTCTGTGCTGACAACTTGGAGCCTGGAGCCTGCTTCAGATTCTGTGTCTCCCTCTCTCTCTGCCCCTCCTTCCCACCCCCTGTCTCAAGAATAAATAAACATTAAAAAAATTTAAAAAAAAAAAGACTCTTTTTCTTTCCAGGATTTCTGCCTTCAGTTTCTATCTGTTTACCACCTCCAGAGTTTGTTCCCTGATTCTTCCAGCCAGCAAGACTACAGCTTTGTATATAATAGCTCTGTCCTTTTCTCCAGCAACTATTGGGTACTACAAAGACTGTGTAGTTTCCTTAGGATAAAAGATGGATAGATGTGGGGGCACCTGGGTGGCCCAGTCAGTTAAGCATCAGACTTGTGATTTTGGCTCAGGTCATGATCTCACAGTTCGTGGGTTTGAGCCCCATGTTGGGCTCCATGCTGTCAGTGTGGGATTCTTTCTCTCCCTCTCTCTGCCTGCCCCCTGATCTCTCTCAAAATAAATAAAATACACATTAAAAAAAAAATATGGGTAAATGAGGACCTCCTTCACTGTTTTTCTTTCTCTCAGGGGTCAGATCCCCTGTAGTTGCTGTATCTGCTTTTGTTTGCTTGGCAATGCCTTCAGTGTTTTTAAGATGTTTTTCCTAGACTTTATAATTGTTACCAGTAAAGCATATGGGTTTGTATCAAAAGCATCCAAATCAGAAAGGAAGAAGTAAGTATGTATACACACGCACGCACACACACACACACACACACACACACACACGTGAATATTATTCAGCCTTAAAAAAGGAATAAACATTATTTGCAACAACATGGATGAACCTTAGGGGCATAAGGTAAAATAAGTCAGAATGACAGATACTGCATGGTACCACTTACATGTGTAATAAAAAAAAAAGTCTAACTCTAAGAAGCAGATAGTAGAAAAGTCTTGCTAAGGACTGGAATTTGGGAGAAATTGGTAAAAGGCTATAGATTTTTGGTTATAAGATAGATAAGTTTTGGAAATCTAATATAACATATTGACTATAGTTGAGAACATTGTATTGCATAATTGAAATTTTTCTGTATTGTATAATTGAAATTTTCTAAGAGAACTTAAAAAAAAGTAACTTCATGAGGTGATGGATATGTTGGTTCAGTGATGGGGAGTCATTTCACCGTGTATACAGTGTCAATCATGTTGTATATGCTAAGTATCTCACAGTTTTGTCAATATAGTGGAAAGGTTTTTTTCAAATAAGACTGCAATTTAAAAATTGTTAAGGCCTCACTGAGAGGTCTGCTAAAAGATACATTTCAGCAGAAAAAAGTCCAGAAGGAAAGCATATGGTCCAAAACAATGGTGAGCACAAATTGATGAAATTCTTGCAAATTTGCCCCTTAATGGCTAAGAGTTCATTTTAGATGAATTTCAGTAATTGAGTATAGAAGAGACAGCACTTGAGTATAGTAAGAAACAAGAAAATTTTTAAAAATTTTATATTTTTGAGCAAATTAAAATTGTTTAAATTTGTATATCCAGTTGCTTTTGGACTTCAAAAATCTTGCAGTTTTAACAGTTGCCGGCTTCTTGTTTTGTTGTGTTTTTACTCACCAGAAGTCCTATGATATTTGAAGAACTAAGTATTAACTCTAGTATTTAATATAATGAAGTCCTTATAGTTAGTTATAGATTTCACCTTGCACTAAATAAATAAACTAAATTTCACCTTGCACATCACTTAATCATCATGTTTCTTTCCTTTAATGTCTGCACTTAGTACAGTGACGTTCAGAAATGCTGTGTGAGTGTGTTTGTCATTATTTCCTCCTTCTCCCTTCACATAGCTCTGCTCATGATTTAAATGGGCGTCTATGGGGAAATCTTACACATATCAATCTCATGTTTTAGCTGCCAGCTAGAGTCTGGTGTAATTGTCCTGCTTCCATTTCTAAACAAAAGTGTGTAAAGGAGTAGTCCTTATTCTATTCCTTTGTCCAATGTCCAATGTCAAGAGGCAAAGTCTTCATTTCCTTATATCCATTAATGGTATTATAGATCTTCCAAGTTTGAATTCCTCCCATTGTCTTTTACCCCTGGCTTAAAAAATTTTTTATTTGAGTATACTTTTATTCGAGTTGCATTAGTATCAGGTGTACAGAATAGTGAATCAGTAGCATCTCTCTGTGTTATGCTGTGCTCACTGCAATATCACTGACTTCATACCCTGTGCTGTGCCTTTTATTCCTGTGACTTATTCATTCCATGGCTGGACTCCTGGCTTCCTCTGGATTCAGTCAGTTACCAGGTTGCATGAAGTCTTGCTGTTATATTACCATTCATCATTCAACCATTGCTGTTTCAATTAAGGATGTTACTACTATGTAGACTATTGCCGTAGCTTTTGTTTCTACTTCACTTTTTAATTCATCATTTGACCGTAGGATAAAGTTTACATTCTTTGATCCCTTTCTTTTTTCAAGTAGGCCCCGTGCCCAATGTGGGGCTTGAACTCACAACCCTGAGAGTGAGAGTCACATGCTTTGTGGGAGCCTCAGTGACTCATTCAGTTAAGTGTCCAACTTTGGCTCAGGTCATGATCTCACAGTTTGTGAGTTTGAGCCTCACATCGGGCTCTATGCTGACAGCACAGAGCCTGTGTGGGATTCTTTCTCTCTCTCTCTGCCCCCCCCCCCCCAGCTTGTGCTCTCTCTCTGTCTCTCAAATAAACATTAAAAAAAATAATAAAAGAGTCACATGCTTTACTGACTAAGCCCAGCCAGATGCCCCTTAAATTCTTTGATCTGACATTCAGACTTTTCTTAATTCTTTACTCTATCGGTTAGGATCACATTCAATTATAAATAATAAGATGTCTTGTGGTAGAAAGGTGATTCTCAGGTGCTTAAGTTTGCCAGGTCTTTTATTCTCTTGGCATTTTCTTCCTGGTTTTAAGGTGACTGCCCTACCCTGCTCGGAGGCAGGTAGGAAGAAAGTGAAGAGAGAAAAGCAAAAAGGAGTCCAGTGGAGCACCTGAGTGGCTCAGATGGTTGAACGTCCAGCTCTTGATTTCCACTCAGGTCATGATGTCACAGGTCATGAGTTTGAGCCCCATGTCGGGCTGTGCTGACAGTGCAGAGCCTGCTTGGGATTCTCCCTCTCTCTCTGCCCCTATCCTGCTTGTACTCGCCCCTTTCTCTTTCTCTCTCTCTCTCTCTCAAATAAATAAACTTAAAAAAATTAAAAAACAAAAAAGAAGGCCAGGTCTGCTTTCTTTTAAGGAATGGTTCTGGAAGTACCACCCAGCAACTTCCACTTAAATCTCATTTGTTGAAACTAGTTCACGTGGCTTTTCATCTGTGGGGAAGTACGGTTCTTTGGGGGTATGTTGCTCTCCTTAAAAAAATTGGGCCTCTCAAGAAGGAAAAAAATGTACCCTGGGTATGTAGCTGCAATTTTGCCACAGATATTCATCTCTGCTTTTAGTCCTTTCCTAAATGGCATAACTGCTCAAATACTGCACTGTGGCCCAATTAATTAGAGTATCTTGTACCTTTCTATTTCTCAGCACAGTTCTACTCTCCTGGAATATTCTACATCTTCCGTTCATATAAATCCAATCTGTTGTACAGAGTCAACTCTGTGTATGAACTCCTCTAATAAAACTTGTAAGTTTAAACCCAGTTTGAAATGTTACCGGGGCGCCTGGGTGGCGCAGTCGGTTAAGCGTCCGACTTCAGCCAGGTCACAATCTCGCGGTCCGTGAGTTTGAGCCCCGCGTCAGGCTCTGGGCTGATGGCTCAGAGCCTGGAGCCTGTTTCCGATTCTGTGTCTCCCTCTCTCTCTGCCCCTCCCCCGTTCATGCTCTGTCTCTCTCTGTCCCAAAAATAAATAAAACGTTGAAAAAAAAATTAAAAAAAAAAAAATGTTACTTACCCCCTGCAGACCCCAGTAAGCAATTGTCACACTAATTCGTTTGTTTTGAACTTATGTTGTCTAGTTGGATCTCTTCTCCTGTTACCTGTGACTGATTTTGTTTGTTCATTTTGTTAGTATTACATATCTGTATTATGTTTCCTCAGTTAAGTTGTAAACTTCCGTTTTACAGGCCTTGTCCACAGGAAGTTTATAATCTCAATGCCTCTCACTGTGCTTTGTACATAGTACACGATATTTATTCAGTTACCAATTTAACAGAGTCAGTGCTTTCAGGGAAGGCTTCTTTGTACATGGGGGATGCTTTATCAGTATCACTTTCTTTTGTAATGTTATTGTTTTTTCTTAATAGGCAAATGTTCTGAAAAAACTCTGCATGGGAATGGCTTGCCTTACCATGACGGAAATGGAAGGAGTGTCTGTATCTCCTGTACATCAGAATGGTGATATTCCTGGAAATGCTAATTCTGCGAAGCAAATAGATCCACTCCTACAGGTGTATCTTTATCATTCTCTTGAGAAGGCTGATGGAGAATATCTGAAGTTTCCAACTGGGGAGTATGTTGCAGAAGAAATTTGTGTTGCTGCTTCTAAAGCTTGTGGTAAATATTCAAAAACATATATTTTCTCCTTGTTAATAGATCATTGTTTCGATTATACTACTCTAATGTACATGTATAATGTATTATTCTTTGTGTTTTAAAATGCTTATATGACTGACGGGTATGTTCTTACATACATAATAAAAGGAGAACGTCACTAGAGTACATTTAAGGTAAATCTGCCTTGGGCTAGTCCTACAGACTGAATGTTTGTGTTTCCCTAAGGTTGGTGATGAAATCTATTCCTCCAATGTGATGGTATTTGGAGCTGGTTCCTTCAAGAGGTGATTAGGTCAGTGGGTGGATCCCTTATCAGTGGAATGAGTGCCTTTAGAAAAGAGACCCCAGAGAGCTCTGTCACCCCTTCTTCCATGTGAGGACATGGTAAGAAGATGAATCAGAAGAGGGTTTCTGTGAACTAGAAAATGGGTGCTCATTAGGCAACCAAGAGTTTCCTAGCCTCCAGAACTGTGAGAAATTTCTGTTGTTTATAAGCCCCTTAGTCTGTGGCATTTTTGTTATAGCATCCTGAACGGACTGCTTCAAAAGTTGGTACTGAGAAGTGGGGGACTGCTGTAACAAATATCGAAACATGTAGAAGTAGCTTCGGAACTGGGTTTTGAGGAACACGTTAGAAAAAGCCTATCTTGGGGCGCCTGGGTGGCGCAGTCGGTTGAGCGTCCGACTTCAGCCAGGTCACGATCTCGCGGTCCGGGAGTTTGAGCCCCGCGTCAGGCTCTGGGCTGATGGCTCGGAGCCTGGAGCCTGTTTCCGATTCTGTGTCTCCCTCTCTCTCTGCCCCTCCCCCGTTCATGCTCCATCTCTCTCTGTCCCAAAAATAAATAAACGTTGAAAAAAAAATTTAAAAAAAAAAAAAAGAAAAAGCCTATCTTACTGTGAACGGACCTTTAAAGGGGATTCTGGTGAGGACTCAGAAAGAAAAGAGGAGAGCCATAGAGAAAGTCTTAATATTCTTAGAGAATACATAAGTAATCTGAATAGAATGTTGGTAGAAATATGTATGATAAAGGCCATTCTGATGAGGTCTCAGACAAAAATGTGAGACATGTTACTGGAAATTAGAGGAAAAGCAATCCTGGTAAAGTGGCGTTGACCTTAAAAAACAAAAGAGCCAGTTATTTTATCAGCAAGATGACTTTATTTAGGAAAAGCAGAGCAATGGCAGTTTGGGACCAGCAAACTCTAGAGAACCACAGACAACTTCAGAGAACAGAGGAAAGTGCTTACTTTTATAGGAGAAAGGAGGAAGCTGGGAGGAGCGGTTTTCTCGGAGTCCTTATTGGCTGGGTTTTGCTGGGCAGGAGCAAGTCTTCCTTCTGCTGGGGTGTGTAAAGTAAGCCTCTTCCTGTCAGGGAGTGTGATGTAGGCTTCTTAGGGCAGGTAGTAATGTGGGGGAGCTTCCCCTTCAGGGCTTCCTACTCCATTTTATTATATTATATTGTAT